TCTGATGCCCCAAGAAAACACCTTAAATATTCATAATACCTACTTTAGCCTCTGAGAAATGCCAAAAGGTACATGTCAATGTAGAAGAGTCACTTCGTAGGCTTTCAACATTTTTGGGACATTTTCCATGCACCTGTGCTCTTACTGTCTGTAAATGCTAACAAGTCTCTGACAGTTTAAACTACAAGAGAACTAGCACATGCTTTGCTGTGCCCAAATGTGCTGCTGAACAGGAAGTAGTAAGAAAACAATGTTTTAACCGCCGTGAATGTGGCACTTTTATCTGCTTACCAGATAATTCTTTAAATAGAGATGCAACCACAACACTGTTAAACTGAAAGGTTCAGCAATTGAGTGAGCTCAAATTCACTACTTCAATGCATCACTGACCACTTTTCAAGGTCATTATTTCACAGTCACTATTTCAAATCTTCCTCTTAGCCTACATGCACACTACTTAGATCTAAGCAGTCATTCAGCTGCACTGCAGAGATAACTTATTGGTAAATACAGGCAATCACAGATTGAGGCAGGCTTATACATTTTTATATTTCCTTGGCAGACCTGTGCATGACTCGGCAGACATATGCATGACCTGCACTTGACTCCCAGTACTGTGGTTCACCTACTGCCCTCTGGCAATTGTGTCATGTTACAGGAACAGTGTCCCTCTGGGATAAAATGCAGAAAAGATTTTAGAAGAGAAAACCATGCAGTTCAAATGCCTTTTACCTGCACTGTCATGGTGAAATGAAGTGGGAGCAGACACATATGCATCAGATTCTGACTTCTAACAGAACCCCCAACAAGACAGCCTAGACTAGGTCTCCATTGGGTTTTAAAGAGCTCAGAATTTCTGTTGCGCCTGGAAGAATAGGCCAAGGTCCAGTTAAGACCCAATATGAACCATGCTGTGTTAATATAGGCTTCAAAAAGTGATGTAAGAGGCTTGGGGTTCAAACATAGAGACAGCATTCTGAGTTACAGCAAGTCATTAGCTGCGATACCAGTCGTTCTGCAGAACACAGGTTTTGTTTTCCTCAAAGCAAGGATTATTTTCATTCCGAATTGTAACTGGGAACACTTCACTCGAAGTATAACTCAGAATCACAGAATATTCTGAAGCAAGTTTAACTGATTGCAACACAGAAGACAAGCTTCCGACATTCTCTTAGCCAAACGCTTAAGCCAGAAATAAGGGATGAAAAAGTTCACTATGAAGACTAAGCTGGTTAAAGGAGACATTGCAAAACAGGAGTCAGATTAATCACTCCAGTAATATAGATGGTTGAGGAGTCAGGTCTATTAGCTCAGCCTCAGGGTTGTAGCAAGGGACTTGGACCGTTCAGGGTGATTCTCCACAAAGCTCCAGGCCACATACACATGAGTTTGGGTTTTCTACGCTAACTCCAGCAGAGCCACATGAACAGAAACCATGGCTCCAACAGCCACAAAAAACTTTTAAAAGAACAAGCTTATTATTTTAGAGGTACTATCTTGCTCACAAATTCTTCTTGCACTCTGGTCAAACTTGACAGAGTTGTAAACTTCCTAGCAAGCACAGAGTTGAGCCTACTGGCTTCACTAGGGTGTATCACTTGAGGAATAATTGCAGGGTCAGGTCTTTGGTTGACCAGGTGAAAATATGTGTCCACACTCTTTGTATAAGTGTGTCAAGAGGGAATTACAAAAATCCTAAACCCAGGTAAATGGATTATAGCCACTTTAATGGGGAATTCATTCTTCTTGTAGCTATTGAAAGAAAAATCACTACAGATTGCATCTCTCTTGAGATACAAAGTCTATCTGAACAGAAAATAAATTCTGTTGAAGTCAATGGAAAAGCCACACTTTATTTCTGCAGGTTTTGGATGAAGTGGCATCTGTTCTGTTTTCTCTCTGCTAGACGTGCAGGGACTGCTCTGCTATCTCACAGCATGTAACCCCACCCAAAGCTGCACAAGTGTGCAGTGTTAACTTTCAATGGAAACTTTTCAGTGCAGAATTACCAAGATAAGAAATTTTGTCTTTACAGTCCCTGATAATATGGTTGTATAGTATTCAGAAAAAAAACCCCTATGGTTTCCCCACAGGAAACCCATGATACTGTTTGTAATAGGAGCCATAATTTCAAAGGCAGTTAATGAGATAACATTTTACTTAACACTGGTTTAAGCAGTGAATAAAGACAGGACTTTTTCTACAAGGCACAAATGACACTGATTAATTTTTTAATTTTATCATTAAGCACAATATTAATTGTAAGAGTCAAAATAGCTCTCTGCAGCCTTGAAAGGCCTCGCTCTTTCTGGCAGCTGTTTTACACCAACCTCTCTCCTGTGGCACCGTTTCTCATTTGTGTTCAGTGTACAAGGAGCAGCACCAGGTCTGCACCTGCAATCTAAGTAAAGAGACACATGCTAAACTTAAGAGTTCTACTTCTCTGGCATATTTGTGAGGTTAGAACCAGAACAGACTCCATTTCAGCATAAGTTCTACTCAAAACATGTCTGCTGTAGTTACTTTCTCCAACAAATCCTGAAGTTTCATTATAAAAATATAATCCCACTTCAAACAAATATAATTTACATCTTCCAGGAATACCTCCACTTTTCAAGACTTTTACTACAAACAGTGTCTTTTTCATTCTTTTCAAGGGGGTTTCCACTACATCACTTACCATCGAAAATGATGTAATTTTTCAAAGAAAGGTTGTAATTTGAGTAGTAATAGAGAAAGCAGGCATTTGAAGCCTGATTCTGTTGTCAACCATGCAACTTATTTCACCTTCGGGAAGATGGAATAAACATTCATTCTGTGGTCTTAGGAAAGCACAACTTGCTGGCTACATGCATGCATTACAAAAATGTACTAATGTACTCTTCGACTCCGTTTGAGCACAGATTTCCTCCTTCATATACATCTGTGCACAGCAATATTTAGTAGTCATCCATTTATGTTCTCCAAGATCTTACATGGCCAGAGCTATTCCCAGGCAAGTCAGATGTCCACTTGAGACAGATTCTTATCTTGGGGATACCAGCAGCATATATTTACCAAAGATCACATAAGTGGTCAAGCAGTCAGAGGTAATTTCCCAGAATATTCACCCAGCAGTTCATATCTTTGGGACTTACAAAAGAGGAGGAAATGTCTTTGTACACAATAGATGGGGATGGAGCAGCATTACCTAAGGACTTGTCTTTCTAAATATAGAAAGGCATGATTTGTCCTTGTCTTTATTATCCTGAATATAACAGCACTTTAAGCAGAGTACTGGCTCACTAAGTTTTTTAATGTAGTGCTGATACAAAGGACAAGAAAAGAAAGCAAGAAGTCTTATATTCACAATGGATTTTACAGCCTGCAGCGAGTATTTTCTTGCTATCTGACAGAGCTTTCAGTCTCTTGCAGGCTGCCCAAAATAGCACACCAAGCTCATGTTCAATCCAATAGACTTTGGTTCTGCAGCCAGTCAAAGCTGATATGGTACAGCAATGATTTGCTCCCGGAGAGCAGATTTATTAACACACCACCAGGACTACAAACCCAGATATCCCCTGCTGCATTCTCAGTGTTCACCTTTCCATTATGCCCCTAATTATCTCCAAAGGAGTTTATTCCTTGTAAGCTTCTTGTTCAGGCTGATAAGCATTTTATTCTGAATCCTCTGCAGATTTAAGCTTTGCTCCTTGTGCTCTTAGTTGAGAAACTAAGCAACTGTCTCCATTTGCACAATGCACACCTCCCACTCTCTCCAGCTTCTCTCTCAGTTCAGTATACATTTATAAGAATTCCAACCATTCTCAGTATTTTTATATTAATTCCTCATGCTCAATTCACTTCATTATGATAAAGGTCTGAGTTGTTAAGGGTCTATATCACCCCTGGACTCAAATAGAAGGGTATGTATTAATTGAGACTAACCTGTTCCTTCATGCTAATCAAGTAAATTATTTCTTAAGCATCGATGTAAGGCAGTTAAAATAAAATAATATTCCAAAGTAATAGCATCCCAAGTAAACAAATACAGCACAGGACATTTTCTCACATTAGAGCCTTTCTTGAAGAGCAAAGTTTTTACATTGTTCCTTAGACTACACTGAGGACTATTTCAATGCACATATTCCAAAAAGACAAACATGGTCATGTGATTCACTTTTTTTCTTAAGAAACCCTTCCTGCTTTTGTGTTATGCATAATTGGACATAAAACTGTTTGCTCTGAAGAAAAAACAAAGAAACACACTAACCCTAAAACCTCAGAAGTTAGCAGAAAGCTTCTTTGGCAGTGCTCAGAGTGCAAGTTTTCTCTGGAAGAAGCTACTCCAGTTCTGAGAATAAAATGGCTTCCCTACCAAAACACAGACATTTTGTTAAATTTTAAAGATAAATACACACAGTAAGCCACGTGCTGATTTACCCTTTCTTTTCAGAACGGAACTGGATCGCGGGTCCAGATTAATAGAATTTAAAGAATGGAGGGACCATATTATGTTATTCTAACCTGACCTTCAAGAGCTGGCGATGTTATAATTTCTTCATCGTGCCTCTGATTCTTGTCTTAGCTGAACTGTAGGCTCTCAGCAGTGCATCTTCAGACTTAGTCCAGAAACCTTAAGAGATGAAGAGTCCCATAGCACTACTAGGTAAAATATTTCCGTAATTTAGTTTAGGAGGTATTTAAATACTTTTGTTGAATTCAACACAACACCAAAACAGGGAAGACTTAAAGTACGGGTATCATATGAATATTACAAAAGTAAGTTTGTGTCACATAAATGGAACTAACAGTCCTGTAGACATTCTTCTGTGGCAAGACAGGTGGATAATAAATACAAGTGTACACATAAATATTTTAATTCTCTCTTAGAGGTAAACACTGAAGGAGACTGTGAGTTTGCCAGTGAGCTTGCAAAAGCCCAAACCACATTTCCTGTTTGTAAGAAAGAAGGTGAAAAAAAAGACTGGAGGCCTTTAAGGTTGACGGCAACTCTAGAGGTAGATCCATGCTGCCAGGTCCAAACCAAAAGAGCATCCAAGATCTGTGAACATAACTTAATTTCCTGTTGGACAAAGGGGAGGGGAGTGCTCCTAGAACCAACAAAAACAGGTAAGCCCTATCTTTTAGTTATAAAATTGTAAACAAAAGAGCAGTAAAACAATGTTACGGCAGATTACCAGTCTTGCAAGAGGGTTGCTCAGGGTTTTAAATTAAAATTATTAATAACATCTTAAACCTTCATTAATTAAGGCTTGTTAATGAAGACGAAGCATTGGCATTCGTTTTTTGCTGAAAATACTTACTGTATTGTAGGCCTTCTTATTTTACAATGCACTGTTTCCCTTCTAAAGTATGAAGTTGATATTTTATAAGGCAATTAGTTATGCACTAATTAATTGCAGTTTAAGGAATCTTTTCCAGGGAATTAATCTTATATTAAAAGCTCATACAGGTGGAAGCATCTTTAACACTAATTTAATGTTCATCAGTCTCTTAATTTTTTTTTTTCCTAAGGGTCATTAGTAAAAAATATTATTTATATCAACGTTTAATTAGAAGGGGGGGGAAAGACAGTTTTATCTCATCTTTGACAAATTTGCAGACAAAACCAACAGGAAACAAACCATTTTGTGTTCCAGATCATCATCTTAAATCTAGTAGTGATTAATCTGCTTCTATGAATGATGAATTGATATCATAGATGGCATGTGCAGCTGGATGATATGTATATTCCTCACCTCACATGCCTTTTCAGTACAAAAACCTGGTAGAAGTATGCTATCCTTCTGTTATCCTCTGTGATGGATTCTCTAAACAAAATACGTTAGAGCAAGAAAGAACAAAATGTAGTACTCCTGCTACGTATTCCTCTGTTGTTAAGAGGACAAACATGTAACGTGAATTGTTAAAACTGGTCACTTTCCTCAAAGGTAAGTACATGATTATGTCCATTCCTTTGAGTTGCATTAAATTGAACTGCAGAAATTCATCCAGGAAAAATTTGAATGTTTTGGAGACTTTTGTTTATTTGGTAAGGGTTTTTTGTTTGCTTTTCCCCCCTCACACCCCTCCAGTTACAGTATAATGAACCCTGCAAAGAGAAAACCAAAGAACAAATAACCAACATTCTATTTTTTACCATTCTTGCCTCTGTTGATGGAGAAAATTGTCAATAGATTTAAAAGAGAGAAAAAGTACATTTAACTATGTATTCAGAAAGTCTTTTGCTTGCTCGTATTTTGTGGTGTGAATATGGTACCTTCAGTTTATAGCAATGTAAAATGTACTAAAAGGAGATGAGTGACCCCATCCCTAGAGTCAGAAAAGTAAAAACATCATTCAAACGAAGTAAATTACCTAAAGTAGATGTTCTATTTGGATGCAACTCCAAGTTTAACCTGCTTTCCAAACAGAAATGGAAGAACAGCAGCATAGGAGTATAACAGTAATACTAGAAAAATTCCGATATTAGTTTTTCCAAATACTGTCATCTTTATAGTCATTAATATACTACTTCCCCACTCACACATCCCAAATTCTTCTAACAATGAAACAAAAATTGTTGTCCCTCTTATAAAACCTTTGGCTATATGATCTTTTTTCTTTCACAGAGCAGCACAATACTTTAAGAATAGCTTTGATATTATTTCTTATAACGAAATACCACCACTCTTAACTTTTCTCATTACAGATTATTGCAGAAAACCCTGATGGGATTTGAGCTTATCCTATTAGAATCATAGTGTACTATTCCCAAAGGAATAATTTTTCTATATGACTGTTTTCTGCAGAAAACAACACTTTTTAAAATATTCAAATTGATGGCTTGAGTGAGAATGCCCCTGAACACAGTTGCATGAGTTCTTTGGAATAACTATATACTATGCAAAAAATAACAATCCGCTTTTGCTACATGTGAGAGTAGATTACGTGAATGAGAATTAGAGAATAGAACAGAAGACACTACTTTCAGAATAGAATAAATAGAAAGACATTGTTTTCAGAATGGAATGTAATTAGTCAAATAGACTTCTCTTTCTGCTTATTTCTCACTCACCATCCACAGTCTCCTTATCTTACTTTTGTCTTTAGCACAACCAGTTAACTGTGACAGGTTGCATCTGCTGTTATACATATAGGGACAGCAGTGTAGTTATCTGTGGAAACAAATAGTCCTTCACAGTTATTCAGCTTTCCTTCTACTGCTGCTGCTGTCAAACTAGTTGCTATTCAAATAATTCAGTTATAAATGTAAATAACTAGCATATTGGCAACAACTATAAGAACAAGAACACCTGGGAGTTTTATATCTGTAAAGAGAAGATATAAACCCAAAATTTCTCATATTTTATATCTGGATAGTAAGATTACTTGAAACTGATATTAGAATGGCATAAAACGCTCAGAACTGCACACTTATGTCTCTGATCAAGGTCTCTACTATGGTTTTATAGGGTAAATTAAAACTGCTGTTGTTTCCACAATATAAGCAGTCTTGTCTGAAAACCAAATAGCTTGTATTGCAAAGAGAAAAAGTTAAAAAAAAAAAGAAGATATTGAAATCATGCATATGTTTGTATGCATTTTACTGCAACAGAAGTAGATGTTTGACTCAGAGTTGTGGAAAATAAATTTAAAAATAAACTAAGCAGTGTTCATCTAGGAAGAAATTTAAATGTTGTTTTCTTAGTCTCCCCACAGCCATAAAGTTTTCTAAGTCAGAAAGAACTATAATTGTGAGATTTAAAACATTGATACGTTTTATTAGAAACCAAAGTTTCATGTCTTTTGTTTTCCTAGAATGTTTTAAAAGTTCTAGAGAAGTGGGATTGCTCAAATACTGTAGAAGTTAAAAATTGAAAAGTGAAAAGAGAAACAGTTTTTTCCAAACTTTACTATTTTCCAGATGATAATTCCAATTTAAATCAGAAGCTGAAATGGGAAAATAATACTTGTCATCAAAAAATGGGTTTCCTCCTCCGCTTCAGTTAAGGACTGAAAACATTCAAATTGAAACTCTGAGTTTTCCTTCTACCCTGGAAACATCAGGGAAAAATAGGACTCCTGAATAAGAAAGATAAATTACACCACTGTGTATCAAGTTAAAGGAACAACCTTAGATTGGAACTGTACTTTAGGTATCTGCTCAGTGTTTTCATTTTAATGAATCACAGGCTTGTGGCTACTATTACAGTTACACGTGCTTCCCTTCTCACTGCTTTTGCTCCCTGGTAAAAAAGTTTGTAGGAAAAGAAATAGAGAATGAACATAAGAAAAATGGAAATAATTACATTGCAAAAGAAAAAAAGGACAGGAAAAGAATGAAGGATGAATGATTATTTAGGCACAACATTGAGACCTGAAATTTCTTGCCTTTGACAGACTTGTAGTTTTGGATTAGTAGTTTTGCACAAAGGATGCAAATGCTGGGTGACTAATTGTAGAGTAACCAGGTTCTAAACAATGCTGATTCTTGACGTATCTTGATAACATCTTCTCAATGTAGGACCTCCTTTTCTTTTAATTTCTTCTCTGAAAAACTGGAAAAATATATAGCTGCTTCATGGAGGTGGTGTTTCTCCTCATGAATATCTGTATCTCATTGCAAAAAAGTGCCTCTCAACATAAAAAGGAGTATTGCAGTAGAGAGCCCTCAAGTGCCTTTGGGAGAACTTCAGTGGGAGAAAAGAAAGGAATGAAAACTAGATGTTTAGTTTAAAAGGAAGGATAAATGGTCACTGGAAGTACCACGTGGAAACACCAGTTACAAATCTGTCAGAAAGTTACAGTTTAGTTGCTCTGTTTTGTTCCTTTTAAAAGAGAAGTCTGAAACCTGCATCCTAGAAGCCCATGTGATTTGTGACTTTTTACTACAAGGTTTATCTTATCTTGTTACATCATCATAAAAATATCTGGGGCTTGAAGTAAAACAAATCTAAAATAGCTTTTGCAACAGCATAATGAGGGAACAAAACCTGTAAGGAGAAGTTCTTAAGATGAGCTGGAGCTGGTCAGCCAAGGAACAAAGTTCTGTGTCCTCAGCAGGAGCAAATGCATTGCACCCATCCCTGGCCAGCAACACGGAAATGTGTATTCCTGTACTCCTTTGCCTCAGATTTCCTTTAAGAAGCAAACAAAATGTCAGCCTCCTGAAGGAATCCACATATGTCCAAAACAACTGAGTGCATTAAGGATCAGTATCATCCAATCCCTCCCTTTGACTGCTCTGCTCCAGCTAGACTTTTTTATGCAGCAGAGGAGGTCATTAGTTTTGGGCACCAGGCTTTATTTCAAACACTCCAAATCTAGTAGAACATGAGACATGCCTCAGGGGGAAAGCAAAGACACTAATTGCAAGCTCCTTTCACTCATGTATTTGGCTCAGTGTTTCCTCTGTCAAGGAGGGTTTCACTGGCCATTTGCTGCAATGCTGAAAATTCTGGCCATTAGGCTGTCACAAATAAGCTACTTTCTTCAGCATGGTTTGTGATGGAAAATTTGTATGAGCTAGATTGATTGAAGAATTAATTAAATGACAAAACAGATTCGGTGCATGGGAGGTCTTCCCTGTGCTTCTAAACAGGACTCCGAGGAGAGGCAAGTTCAGTGCAAAAAGAAACTGTTCAATTAAATTGACCCACCTCTTACAAGGTGATTTTCCAAGAGCTGTTTGGGCTTTTCTCTGCAGAACTTCTGGGGCGTTCACTGATTCCCAGCTGCTGCTTATCCTTTATCACCGCTTTCTCAAGCAAGAAAATGAGTACAAGTAAGGGGTTTTAATAGCAAGAAAACAATGCAAGAAAACAACCAACTTTTGATATTTTTCTGCAGAGATTTTTAAAACCTTATGATCTTAGCTATTATTCAGAGATATTTCCAGTGAATTTGTTTTGACTGAATTCAGAACTACACTAATGAACTCTAGAATTTAGCCAAAAATTTACTGCAAAGAGTAAGTTAAAGACTATTACAGAATTAATTTCAAAGCTATTCAGTAAAATGACTTTTTTCCTTATTAATTTATGATTTTTACTGTATCTTACAGGCAAACCAACAGCCCAGCCTTTGGTAGAATTCCTATGAAACAGTAGTTCTGCTAACAGCTTATTGATCTTGCTTTCTTATTATTTAGCATCTGGTTTTGATATTAATTATTTAGCTGGTATGGCAATGGCTGTCACAGAGTAAACAACAAAATAGCAGCTTCAATTACAGAAAGCAAAAATCAACCAAGCACAAAGAATATGGTGAAACTATTAGACAACACAAATGATAAAATTATTTTCCTTCAGTTACAGAAATGAGCTGCCATTTTTCTGTCTGGGGAGTTTTGGCCTTCCTGAGTTTGGCTCTCATTGTTTCATTGACACTGAACATTTTACACTATTTGAAAAAGAAGAGAGGTAAGAAACATTGTCTCTTTGTAAGGAATGGAGTTTCAATATTTAAATTGTCTGTAGAGAAAGTCATCACTGCTCAGAGAGTTCAAGCCAACAAATCAATTAGTTTGAAAAGTTTTCCTTTGGCAAGAATGATTCTAGTAGAGACCACGTGAGTTTTAAAAAATTTTAGGAGAGTCAGGTAAGATTACAGAATGATTGCTAACTGCACAATCTGCTGCCAGAAACAGCCACTCAAGCCCATTCTCTGAAGACAAGCCAACAGAACATGTACAAGGTGAAGAATTTAGTTCTGACTAAATTTTTATTTTTAAAGTATATTTTTAATACCTGTAATTTTATTCTTTTAAGTGTACTTTTCATATAATTGTTTATTATTTATCCCTCAATTTGAAAATTATTTTAAGTAGCTCCTCCCCAAATTCTTGAATGCTCATTAGAATTTCTGATTTCCTGTACATTTTATACTTAATCTGTGTATTTTGGAAAAAATATTCTAATTGCTTTTCATCGTGGGATTCTAATGGAACTCTTAAACCCATGTGCCACTCACAATAAGAAACTAATTTGTTTATGTTAGAAGGTGACTACAGTCATACTCCGGTTTTGGTTGAAATTATCTATGACTTTTTTGACAGAATTAATTATGCCAGTGGAACCTCTCCTATGCATACAATTCTGTTGTTAGGAAGTTGTACAATCCTCACCATTCCCTTAACACAGGGAAAACTGTACCTGTGCTATACATGTATGGATGGGCAGGCAAACGTTGGTGGCTTCAACTACACTAAATACATCATGGCTGGGCTTCACGAACGAAGATTTGGGGAAATACACATACATATATAATCTACATAAACAGCAGGCCTGGGCTTATAAACTGAATTCACCAAGTGTAAGAGAATCAGGATATTAAAAAAGCTGCCGCTGGAATGTTTTTGGATGGGTGGGGAGAGGGGTGTGGGTTAGGCTCTTTAGGTTTATTTTGTATTTTAGGGCCACTATGCAGATATTTCCACGAGTTAAAAATCACAGTTTTTACAAAACTAACCTTGACTAAGGTTTAGGTTGGATTGCCTGATGCTGCAGTGCTCATGGAATCGGAACTTAATGTGGTAAGCAGAGGATAGAAAGTCAGGCATTTCTGAGTTATGAATCCAGCTCTAGCAATAAACTTTTGTAGCCATCGCCTCTCTGCTTCATTTTCTTCATCTGTGTGGATCACAAGATATCCTTCAGAGATACAAGAACTAGTAAAATAAATACACCTTCACTTTGTAATATAAGAACCTGCCTAGACAGACAAAGACATGAGGTAGACATAGAAGGTGGAGGAACAAAACATGTGTTATAAATACATTTTTGGGATATTGTAACCTCATGTAGACTTTGAAGCCATAGCACAGGGTGTTAACATAAACATTTCTTGAATTAGACAGAAGTATTTGAGAAAAGTACAGGGACGACTGAAGAGCCAGAACTTTCAGTTGTGTTCTCTAAACTGAAATCAAAAGCATGTCCGCTGAGACAATTATCTGAAGCGTTCTAAAATAGCACATTTCATTTTCTCTTAACTTTTTTTTTTTTTAACAAATTTTCCAGCTAAAATGCATAAAGACTACGAAGAGAACAATCCAAGGTAAGTTGGATAAAAAATTTTCTTTCTCTCAAGGGTGAAATAAGCAATAAATAATGACAGATGGCTTTGGAGGGATGACGTAGAGGAAAATTCACTATCTCTTGCAGTCTGCCTGGAAAAGTTGGAAAGAATGGCTGTGGAAAAAAGTTTTCCAAAGAAAACCAGAAAAAAAATTCATGTGGGAGGTACATCCTGCAGTCTTTTTATCAACAATGAAATAATTTCATGCTAATACTATAATTTTGTCTGTTGAAGGGAGTACAAGATACTGAACTAAACCACCATTTACTGTCACTTAACCTCAAAATCCCATAATAATTTAAAAGAACTTTCAGAAAACAATGATAAATTATAGTCTGATAGTTAATACTTCTGGAGTAATAAATTATTTATGTATTTACATTTCATAACCATCTTTTACAAACGATGCCCTAAAGCAATGAAACAGAAGTTGGGAAGTCTCTGTCTGTCACTCCCTGTTTAGCTGAAAAATACCACTGAAGAAGTGGTGTTAGATAGCATGGCTTCATTCCCTTGATGAGACACGGTATAGGGATGCAATAGAAAAAAGTGCTTCCCACTAACAATTCCCATTTTACAGACTTAGAAACATTTTCAAGGAACACTAGGTAATGAAACACAGTATATCATTAAAAATGCAAAGCTGAAATGTGCTTTGGTCTTCTCGTTTGTGTTGACATGAGACTGTGGACCTTTTAAGAACACCAACCCAAAAGACACATGCAGTGCTTTAGTTTGTATTGCGGAGTGGTCTCAGAGGACGTGAACTGGGTTCCTTTCAGTGATCATTAATATTTCTAGACCTACATGAAACAGTAGCTTACTAGTCTGGAGATAAGCTTTTTACTTACCTAAGCTACAGGAAAGAAGAGTTCAATTACTGGCTAGATAAGAAATCTCTCTTCAGAATATGCACATTGCCATTGCCCCCTCCAGTATATTTGGTCTTGTTTATTAGATCACATACAATCTGCTATGGAGATATATAGATATAGATTTATATACACATAAACATATATACACACACACACATACACAATCTGGATATTGGTACATGTGCGTTAAATGTTTATTAGAGTAGAATAGTGGGGTCCTAAATAAAGCATATTCTGTGAATTAAAACTATTTTTCCATTCTCCCTGTAGCTATGATGACTATCCCACAGAAGATTACCCAGTTTATGGCAATCTCAATCAAGATATTTTAGGTAAGATTTATTTTAGGAACATGTGTCTATTCGGTGGCTATAATAAATATAAGATTAAAAATGGACTGACCAACATATCTTGTATTTCTCAAATGCCAAGCTTGAGAATTTACATCTTTTCAATCATTAATGTAATTAAAAATATTACCACCTACTTGGGATAGAAATGTAAACCATCATACTACATTACTATTTGTAAGAACAGATCTCATACTGAATTTTATTTTTTATGGTTCAAATGGTCCAGTTAAGCCAAGTATCTCAAAACAAAGAGCTTGTATATATGTAAAGCTGCACCAGTTGAAAAAACAGCTTGATCCATGCATGTTAAAGCAATCTAAACCACACATTACTCATGGTCCAAAGCCAGTGTTCCCACAGAAACAGGCAGAAACAAACACATACCAGTTCTCTGCTGTAGCTATCCAAAGACCATCAGCAACATTGACAAATATGCCGAAGCCCAGTGGCTGAGTGTTGGGCAGACAGCTTTGCTTTGCTTTACTGTGCTGAAGTTGATAATCCTTGGCAGAGAGATACCATAGTAAAGGCAGTAATATCACATAACTGCAGCTAGAGCTAGATATGCTGAGGCTATGTCTCTTGAAGAGCTTATGGTGTTAAAGCAGTATTTAAGTAATATGAACGTAACTTTTTTGCAAGCCTTATTTGGGGTTAAGCAAAACTAAAGTACTGAGCTGCAGGGAAAAAAATTAAAAAAACAAACCAAATGCTTTCATATACGGTTTGCATAAATTTATCTAAGTCAACACTCAAATGGATTGACATCGTAAAAGTCTGAAAAATGTAAGGAAGTAATCTGCTTTACTGATGGCTAAAATGAGATATGAAATAAGAAAATAACTTGCACCAAATTTACAGAAAACTGGAAGTAAATTCAGGCATAGAATTTAATCACCAGCTGCTGCAAGTCACAGCCCCTTTCTCAGCCAAAGAAAGGCTGCCTATGCTGAAAAATACATCAATATGCGGTTACCCTTAAATTGCAAGAAGTCTTCCTAGCACTATAAAATGATGCCCACTTAGTGAATAATGAGAAACCTCCCACTCATGAACAGAAGATGATTTTCATTTCCACAGTATGTGTCTGAATTTCTTAGCTATTTGCCTGTCTATATCTAGAGGGAGAGATCTGTGTGTGATTTCAAAACAAAACAAACTTCTACCAAAGAAAACTGGGAGAAGTGAGTTCTGTAATGGAGAGGATCTGCTGATCTGACCTTTTAAGACTCAGTAATATAACTTAATAACTAAAACATTTTTCTACTTTGATAAGTTACAGAAGAATGTTGTTATGAGCAGATGAAGTCCCAACCTCAAAGGCCAGTTAACCAGCCACAGGTATTTTTAATTTTAATTTTATATTTCTGAATTAGGGTGACGTGGTCTGTCTCAGAGTTCCTCTGTTTATCCCATGACAAAAATCTTGACACTATCACAAAGATTACCATGCATTATTGTTTCAGTTCACCAAGGTATTTCAGCACAGACTTGACCCTTCAATCTGAATCATTAATGCAGAAGTAGGAAAATTATGGACAGTTCCAGTCCATGCATATGGCATGATAAAGTTCTGTCACAGGCATGCAGATCAGGTTGAATTAAATCTGCATCTACTGCCATGGCTTATGAAAATAATTAATTTTATTTATTTGTGATATCAAACTGAAAACACAAGCTGTATCACATGATACTCATGAATTTGAGTGGCTCTCTCCTGCCCAGCACAAAATCTATATGCCTTAACACTTGAAAATAGAAAACAACTGTTTTCTATTGATTTGTATTTTGTTGAGATACCTAAGAGCATGCAAGCTTCAAATGAAATTTGCCTGTAGTTGAAGCATTCCCAGCATCAATTTCCTGAGTTCCATGCATTTCACTAGGATCAATTTCCAGCCTCTCTCTCAGGATATTTCCAGCAGGTAAAAATATCTTTTCTAATCTAGACATTTGTTTTCATTAACTTCATGGAAACAGAATAATCTATGAAAATTCCAATGTCAATAGTCATTGACAGTTTGGTTTGAAAAACAGAGAAGCAGGAAAAAGATACAAAAGACATACATTTTGCACTGGAAATGAGATCATCTATACGGATGAGAATCATCGAACTTTGGTATTCTGCAGAGGCAAAGCCTGTGAATAATATTGCTAACAACTGGATTCTAACTAAACAAAAGTGAGAAGAAAAACAGATCTAATCATATCTTGCATCCCAAAGAACTTGGACTGATTTCATAACCTACCCTTCTTCCCAATGAGAATCTTTCCTATGATACCTTGAAGAATTTTTCCTTATTGTCACTATGAGCCATTTACCATTAGATTATGTTGATGTGTTTTCTAGGCTCCCATGTCTTAATCTTTTGTGTTTTTAATGGTTTGTTTTACAGTTAGTTTGGGCATATTTCAGCCACTATTATGATTACAGTGTAGACATACTCATAGTCTTACGTATAAATTTAAAGCAAGGATAACTACTGAATGTTAAAGTGAATTTCCTTTCAGGTGGAGTCTGCCAGTCAAATGTGTTATGCCTCACTTGATCACAGTGTCAAGGGAAAACGCAGAAAACCAAGGAGAAAGAAAGATCCTTCATTAGAGGAAGATGAAGAAGAAAGATCATCTAACCCCACCATGATGGCTTCCAAAGCAAGCATTTACCTCAATAGTGAGCAGCTGGCTGCTGAAAACACAGCAAAAGTAGAAGCCATTCATGATGACCCCATCAGGTTAATGGGCTTGATCCATAAGCAAAAGGAGAGAATATCTGAAGTGGCTTCCTGAACCAAAAATGTAATCATAGAGTGAGATGTGCTTTTTCATTCTGGAGGAACAGTGAATGACTAGAGATTGTCAAACTGTCAAACTGTCGTACCAAACAATGATTTAAAATGGGTAAGTGTTCCAAAGTGTCTTCCAAGTATATTTAAGGACTAAACAAGAAATAAGTATAGGTCTAGACTGCCACTTTGAAGGATCTGCCCTTCTGAGGACAATTTGAAAGAGTTGTGGAATCTGGTATTTCAGCATTCATGTGGTATTGATCCCAGCAAAAATTAATCCTATGTTTTTAACAACCAGCTTTCAAACATTCCCAAAAGACCCACTAATGGTCTGTAGAGCTCTAGCAGAGTACAACTATTCTATATAGGTTTTATCAATACTTCTGAAAGGAAATTTTTTTCATGCTTGCACACTTGGTGATTTAGTTGTTTTACCAGTTAAAAACTAATCTGCTGTTCCACACCGTGTACTTTCCCGCTGTGACTGATTTATGGTAATAATGCAATCTATCTAAAGATAATTGGAGAATAATTTAACAGTTTGTTTAAAGTAGTAATTGTACATTTCACAAGATTTAACAGTATCTTTATATATCTTCAGTTTCCCTTAGCAATACCACAATTAGTCTCAAATCTCAACTCCTCTACTAAATGCAATATTGTATCCAACTGTATTCAAGAGTCCACAAAGATATTATCAAATTATCTGTAAAAATAAATCTCCTAGTGAGGATTTCTTCCTTCTAATACTCTATGTTATGTTTACATTCCTATTGGGTTTTACATTGCTATTCTTACTATTTTACAAAATCATTTCCCTAAACAATTCACTTACTGTGTGCACATTCATCTTAAGACTTTAAACTCATTAAATGGTAAGTTTTATAGAGTGGGGATCTCTTTTTATATTCTAGGAGTCATTAAGTAGTTTTAGAAGAAAACAGCGAGGCAGGTTGATGTAATATGCCTACCTCTAGGTGTCAGACAGTTCTGCCTTCTCAAAAATAAAGGCTACTAGTGCCTTTAACATCCACACAGAGCACAATGACAAGGAGCTTCCAACTCTCAAGCACATACAGAACTCTGCAAGTGTTTCAGGTCCTGAAAACAAACAAACAAAACAAACAAAAGGCCCATAGAAGCCCAACACCTCTTCTAAAAGCAGAAGTGGATGGACACATCCAGCAATGAGACATATTTATGAAGAAGAAAATCAGTATAAAACAAAATTAATAAAGAAGAAATAAGTTCTTTGACAAGCCTGGTTAACATTCAGTTTTGTTCATAGTTAAGGGTCTTACATAACAAGCTCTAACTTCTATGCAAAACCAAAAGGAAGGGGCCAAGCCCTGCAGCCAAAGCTGCCCCAGTGTCATTGCCAATCTTGTGCTAGTATTTCCTTTTGTGTGCTGGAATCAACGCAGTATGTTTCGCTGTTACATCCCAGAAAAAAGGCAGACTTGGAATGAAAGTAACTGTGTTATCACAGTCTTAGCCCAGCTGCCACTGGATAGGCAGAAACAAGTAGTGTTAAAGAATCTACAAAAACCACTTTAATGGAGAAGCAGATTAAACGATGGCCCTAAGGTCCTGTGGGGGAAAGGAGGAAGACAAATCCAAAGCCTAATATCTAAAGCTAAATATCAGTGCATGAAGCACTCACTTAATTCAATTAGATTGGAAGGAGTTATATTTTGTTCCATAGTAGGAACTAAATAAGTAATAATACACATCTCAACATATGCTTGCTTAGACTCACATCAAAATAGTTTGAATAACAATAATATGCAAAATATTCACATAAAGTGTTTTAATGTGTCAGTGAGATGCAACTCTTGATTATGCCTTAAATTCACAAGTTAAAGAACTTACACAAATTAACTAAACTCAACCTGCCATTTCAGTCTGATCATCAGTTTAACAGAAATGAAGTACACACTTCTCTCATTGAGTGTAAATGTAGCAGTAAGTCCACCTCATGGGATTTAGGTAAATCTAGTTTCCTCGATCTCAATCTTCATTGTTTAGTCCAGCTATGCATTTACGCTAATTTTCATCAGCTGCTTTCCCTTGCAATGTACTTTGTTAATAGAGCAGGGCATTCTTGTAAATATTCTCCTTCAATATATCCTTCCTCTGCACATTTAATCATTGCTTCCATTAAATGACTGACTGTTGCTCGCAAACACTCTACTTCAGGATAATCTTTAGTGGCTTATCAACTGTTTCCAAGGCACTTTTAATGTTGTCACATTCAGATTTAGCTTTATTTCTCCAGCTCTTTAACCTCCATCTGCTTAAGTAAGCAACTCAATGACCTAATTTTTTTTAATGACTTCTGGGATACTTTTTCAAATGACTACTGAATTCTTACATGAAAGAGCATGTTCAATATTGCTCCATCTTCAATCCATCAGAGAAAGACTGACAAAGTATCACATACTAGTTAAATTCTTTATGTATAAAGCAAGTTTCAACTAATTACAACAAAATAAGAAAAGGTTTTGCTAGGTGTAGGTTTATACCCTGTTTATGTTGTATAAACAAGCTTACCTTTCAACCTGGGTGAGCCTTCATTAAAGTTGCTGGGTAGAATTCATATCTAGAGTCAGAACATGTCCAAAACCCAATTGCAGTCTCTCAGTACTGGTGTATGAAGAAATACTGGGAAACAATTACCTCAACTAATTCAAGGAGAAGGTAGGGAATAAAGCATATTTCCTACAGTGCATCCATGTCTGAATAGGAAGAAAAATGAACCACAACAGCATTTCTAAAAGAAAATCTTTTGTTGATGTTGTTGAAGGAATCATAATATCCAAATTATGAGGGAATATAGAATGTTTATGCACATTGCAGAAGTTCTTACTGCAGAGAAAACCTCACTGAAGCTGGCTTCTTGTGCCATTGAAGAACCGCATTTAAGATAATAGGAGTTTGATTTTAAGAGCTAAGATAACACAAAACACTACTGTGTGCCCAGAAATGAAGCCAAAGAAAAACATTTTTTTCCTTTTCTGGAGCTCAGAAAGCTGACAAGGGGCAATGCTGATAAAAGAGAGTACTTGACCTGACACCACTAACACAATCCCCTTGCTGAGGAAGACCACAGCAATAAAAACCTGTGGGACCCTGAAAAGTCATTCTCAGGTATTTGCTGTAGGTATACAAACTCCTCCTGAGAATTCTCATACCTGAAATAAAAATGTTGAAAGCAGGTATTTGTTCAAAATAATTTTTTATTTAGAATACAAATTGTGTCAGAATACAGAACATAACTTTACCAAATCCAGTAAAATTTATAAAATTCCACTGAACAATCAGCTTTGGTGAGATACTTATAAAATTTTAACATTAATATGGCATAACAGACAAAAATCATAGCATATAATACTGAATTTGGGGGTGTACTGAGACATAGAGAAAGTATGAATAAGCAGGAATTTAGGTGAATGAGCTTGTTCCTTATCTTATTATTAACACATTAACAATCAAAGTTTATTAACAGATAAAAGGTAATATAGATAACATTCTGTTATTATAAGCGCGAAAAACCACAATTCCAACTTAGCCATAAACTGGGTAAGAAATGTCCTGTCAAAAGGGATAAACCCATTCCTGAAGAATTATATTGCAAGGAAGTATATATCAGAACTAGTTGTGTATTACAAACATACTTGATTATTGGAAGAAGAAAGAAAGCCAGATTAAGGGCAAACTTTATAAAAACTGTGTTTTATATTTAGCAGTCTGTGAATGCTCCTTGATGAGTTTTGCCGGGGAAGTCAAAGGTATTGCTGGGATTTTGGTCTTTCCCATCAGTGTAGCTTAATTTTCTGTATACCCTATGGAAAAAAACCCCAAAACAATAATCCATTTAGATGACAAAGTAAATTACACAAAAATACTATGTTTGCTGAAATTCCAGTGAACAGAATGAAACTGAAACAAGTTGCCAAAGCAAAATAGCTGAACATCTTAACTGTGAACAGCAGCAGGACTCCTCGTCTGAAATCCTATGTGCTTTCAGAGAGAAAGCTTTTCATGCTGTCATTTTAAAGCCTCAGTAATGCTACTACATCAACCTAAGTTATATATACTTATTAAACTTCAACATGCAATCTTTGACTGTATTCACAAATAGCTAAAAATTAAAGACACAAGTGAGAACACAATTATTTCCTCGCATATTACTTAAGAAATTGCATAATTTTTTTCTGTCCCCTATTTTAAACTAATTTTGTTTACAAGTGACAATTAAGTATAGCAGGGCAGCTGTAGGACAGCATTCACACAGAATTGAAGTTCATTAGTTGTGAACACTTCTTTATCAGAAATATCTCTTTCATAATCATCTAGATAAAGGCAATCTAGTTCCAGACAGAAAGACAACATTCCTTTTCTTTTCAGAACCATTCATTACAACATAGAGCATTTTGCCACATGGCTTCGGCATAAAACTTCTGAGGGATCTGAAGCCATTAAAGAAGAGCCTCAATGCTGGGAAACATAGAAAGCTAAAAATATCACACCACAGGCCTAAGAAAACTTGCCAGCTGACAGTCCGTTTTGGCTACAAATCAGCAAACATGTATTTGTGTAATTAAGGAACAAAGAAATAGATTTTATTCCAGATGGTTTGGCAAGAAAACACTCTGTGGAATCCTGATTTCTCTACTTACATGCATTAAGAAAAGGAAAAAACATTTCCTTTAGAACAATCATTAATCTTATAGGGATGGCTGTTTTGTATGGAGACGGGAAAAAACAAAGAGGAAAATCAGAAGGAAACCCAAGAACTGAGCAGAACTTTACTCAGCAAAGTGGACATACTCAACATCACATATATATATATATATGTATACTCATCAGCTTGTCTCCAATCTTCCATTATATAAAAAATAATACAAATATAATCTTTATCAATAAGGTATGCATTTTTAATACAAGCCTCTAAGTTTTAATTTCGTCTTTGCATAAACTGAAACTTTTTTCTTTAAATCACAAAGCCTCTTTTCTGGTTAAGTTCTCCATACAAGAAGTTTAAAAACGCTTTCAGCTTCCTTTGAAGTTTTAATTCAAACATTGTGAGTAAATTTTGATATCAGCTGTATGATCTTCTCAAGCACGGTGAAAATATTTCTTGACTGAGTTTGAGAAGCCAGCATATTTTGTGGTTACAAATTAGATTTTGTGGTAAAAAAGCACGTAAAAAATGTTTTGGAAAATAAAATGAAAAACTGTTTAGAGAGCTTTTAATAGAGAGCTTTTAATGCTTTTTTTAAATCTTGTTGACTATTAAGTGTTTGCAATTAAAAATCCAAGAGATCTGAAGCTTGATAATTTCTTAAAAGTTACATATTTTGTAAGAAAAACAGATGTAGTAGGCCAGTATTCCATGAAGTGTCCTCCTTCCAGAGATCTAAGCACACTGCCAGTAGCAATATCAGCAGGAGGAAAGGATCTTTGATATCTTCCAAGCAGAGCCACTGCTTGTACACAGAGCGAAAATGCAGGTAATGACGCCCAACTGCACAGGGGCTAACTTTTGAAAGTCCTTTTAAATGGCAACATACTGCACTCTCCACAGTTTATGGATCTGAGAGGACTTGTTAGCTCAAACACACAGCCACAATCAAAACAATTCTCTAGTGTATCTAAAATAATAAATGCCTCCGTAATGAACACAAAATAAGTAAGGACGAAGTTAGGCCAACTTGTGTTCGCTGGCCATCCATGCTGGAGTCTGGTTAGTTTTGTCCACAGACATCTGCCCTTTAGGGTCCAAGTCTGCAGCTTAGCTTGGGCTCTCCCATATTGATTTTCATTCTAGAAGCATGTATGAAACCTCCATACCTTTCATATAGAAGCAGAGCAGCAAGAATTAATTTTGAAATCTTTTTTCAAGAAGCTCTTACCTTTGGTGACACATCTGCACGTTTCTGGGAGAGCTGCAAATCATCATTTTCCCGGGCCAACCAGAGTGGGGATATGCAATCCCAGCTTCTGATGATGAAAAACAGTGGTATGAAAAGGGCAAGAACAATGCTGAGTAGCATGAACACTGCAGTATGTTGTTAAAATATTAGTCTAATCCAACGCTGGAAATACTTCATTGGCATACTTTAATGAGCAAATTTCCCTATGAAAATAGTCTCATGGAAAAGCTCCTGGTAAAACAATTTCAAATACATTTTTAAAGACTGAATATATTTAAGTATAAGTTAGGTTTCTGGAAAATGCTTATAATTTGTCATCAATTGAAAAATGTATAAGGAACTGTTGATATAAAAAAATTTAATACATAAAGTACGGGTTAATATTTAAGGAAAGCAAAATAAGACAGATGGGATAAATTAAGCTCAAATAATCAAATTCTGTACAATTAATCACTAATGAAAATTCAACCAAGCAAGAACCATGCAAACAAGTATATTTCATCTGCCATTTTCTACTTGTGTGCCAGTTGACAATATTTCAAGACACCTTCTGTATATTCCTTTATGTGTTAGTTTTTATCTTGATGACAAGGTTAATAAAAAAAAGTATGGAAAATAAATATTGGTGATTTTACTTTGCAGTACAAAAGTTAAGATTATGTTATATACATAGAGTAACCAAAATCAGTTTTTGAAACAGAAACCAAAACATTAGCATTTAAAATTTTACACTGATGTAGGTTTTCTGATTTTTCGGTTTTTTTTTTTTTTTTTTTTTTAATAATGAAATTCTACTGTCCTGATTTAGCAAAAGTCTTTATCCAGATTAATAATCTAATTGATCTAAGAAAGCATGATAGTAGCCATGCAACAACTCAATTCCAAGTTTTTGTAAATCTGAAGAAACAAAACAAAAGCATTTAGTTATTCAAGCGTAGGATTAACGAACTACTCCTTTCCTGCTGAACATACAGATACAGAAAGTAACAGTGAACTTTAAATAAAATACAAAACAGGAAGAGAGAAAACTAGTGGATAATAAGAAACACTTTGGTAGGAAAAGTCCTAGTTAACATAAACTTCTTAAACAGCATGTGATTCAGAAAAAACTCTTTTGTCTACAGATTCCTTACTTAAAGAAAGAAGCGCATCCAATTATTACCAAGGAAGAAGAGCTGTCATCTAGACAGTTGTGTATTGAGCTCTGTAGATTTACCATTTGAGGAAGTGCTTGTGATTGCTAAGGTAGTAAACTCAAAGCATCTTAAACTAACCTTGTGGGCAAGTACGAGGAATATCAAGGGAAGTTTTATCTGAAGAATCACGAAATCCAGAGTGCTGAAAATAAAGCATCGACAAATAACATTGATGAAAAAACTCATATTATTTCACAGCTTGCCCCAGAAATTACTGAGAACCTAGAAATAAGGGTCTGATTTAATATTTAAATCAACAAGTCTAATGATTCCAGTGAAACCCAGTAAAGCCTAATTTGTGTCTCACCTTGTCCATCTATAAAATTATTAAAATGTCATCATTTCAGAAGGACAACACCTCAATTAACAGGGTCATTATTTGAGATTATTTTAACCAGTGACATTGTCTATTAAAACGTAACAAAATCTTTCACTGAGTGTTTTATAATCATTTTCAAGGTTATTAAATACAGTGAGCTCCCTCACACATTCCAGACCTGATACAACTTATATTTCAGCAAATAAATATCCCCAAAGCCATAAAATATCCCTACTGACCAAACAGCACCAGAAGTACGCTATCTGTAGTTCAAGCAGCTCTAATCCATTTTTAAGCCCTTCTCCAAATACCTATGAGTGCACAATCTTTTTTTGTTGTTGTTGTTGTTACAAGATCCTTAAGTACCTGACTCTGACAGCTGTGATCTTCAAAAAAGCTGGGGTTGTTGCCATTATATGTGCTCAAAAAATCCATGTCGACTGTCTGAAGATTAAGCTTTTTTCTGTGAGAAATCTCTTGACATTTTGTTGAAGAAAAATAATGTTCTGGTATATGTTTCAGTCGCTTTACTGGTGAACAAGGAAGATCATTTTGAAAATTTCCTAATCTTTTAACTCTGGGAATTGCAGATAAAGTGCGAACAGGTGAGTTTACAAGAGCATTTACAGTTTCAGACATCTTTATTCCTTCATATTTCCTTAAATTTGAAGCTCTCTGTAACCCAGGAAGTTTTGGAACAGGCTTACTACACAATAGCTCATAGATCCTGTCAAATTCTCTATCATACTGTGTTCTGGGCTTCACAAAACCATTTAGATTACTTTTCATTAATCTTCCTTTCTCTTCAAGGTTCTGTGAATTTGAAGGAGGTCTTCTCAATACCAAAGGCTTTTGGATTTCTTCTGAACACACTTTGTAGTAGAGTTTTTCAAATGCATCTTCATATTTCTGGGGCATCTTTGAAGGAGTCTGCTTCATAAATGATGAGGAAAATGAGTGTTTGTGCTGGAAAGAAATTTGTCCTTCAGAAATTATTTTTTCAGGATTTATGAGCAAAGTATTTGATGCTCTGGCAGAAGAATAGTTTGTGACGGGTGCAGAAGTGTTATTACTGCCATAGGAACTGTAAGTAGATGAACATGAGTCTGAGGTACCACAAGAAAAGTCAGTTTTCTGAGTCTTGCTCTCGTTTACAAGATGAAGCCCTGTTAACTCTGAACTGGCAATAGGTATTACAAAATTGTGTTCTGAGGAACATCTGTTGGCCAATTTTTCACTTTCTTTGTATTCTGAACTCTTCACTGAGGCAGTAGTCTGCAACTCATCTTCAGCTACAAATGTCTCTCCCATTTTAGCCATAACATTAGGAAAAACAGTCTGTATGGAGACTTTTTGGCCTTTTCCAGGTACCAGACAATGTTCTAAACTTGAGTCAGAGTAGTCCATTTTGAATTCATTTGTATCAGTATAAGGTACCAGAGCAGATGAATTATTAATGAGACAATTATCATAACAAAATTCTCTGCTCTCATTTCCAGAGGTTGGATTCTGATTGTCTTCACTTCTACTGTTGCATATGCTGTATAGTCCTTTCTTTAGTTTAAAAGGCCTGAACCCTTTTATTTTGTCTACAGTGATATTGATCTTTGGTCTTCTAGAATGACATCTTTTGGACCTTAAGTGCCCAAGTAAGTATTTTAATACTTTTCCCTGAGAGTGCTTTGTCATGAGCCTTGTAAACGTCTCTAACATCACTGGATACAAGTCTGCAAGAGTTGTATTGCTCAAGGAGCACCCCCCGCACGCAGACGGGCATTCTTCGAAGACACTGTCACAGTAAGTCGTATTCAGCTCCGCAGAAGGTCGGTGCGTGGGTATGGTTTTTGTATTTGATGGAATGGGAATACCAGAATACTGTAACTGTAGAAATCCGGATGAAGAACATTCATTCGACAACTCTAGTTTCTTTCTGCAAACAGGAGCTTGATTGTCTACTGAAAAAACAAAGCCAAATTAGTCAAGAAACAAAACCAGAAGAAGGAAAAGATTCCACATCTATTAGGGCACTTCCAGTAATGCATTGTATGACTTAGAAACAATGGCAGATGATACAGGTAGTCTTACTGTAATAGCATATTTCATTAAGCTTTACTGCCGGGCTAATTAACATGGATAATTAACTTACAAACCATTAGGAAAAAAACTAATACTTTTCCTAACCATATGCAATTCACAAATTATAGAGGATAGAAATTTAATGTGTTGGAACAGGAACCCAGAATTTAAAGCAGCATAATATAGAGATATAAAAAAATTTTAATTGTAGAGGAAGACTTCTCTTTGCCCTCTGTGATTTCTGACTAGGAGAAACAGCCTTATCCAACAGGTTTTGTTCCTCTGTTTCCATGTTACTTGATAGCTTTGTACTTGGCTAGTACCATTGCAGCTTTACTTGCCAAAAACCATGATGAAAGTAATGCTTTTTGTAGTTGTTAGTTGAAATATTTACATCAGAACTCTACCTTAGGTTTGCATCAAGTCTGGAAAGCTTTTGAAGCAAGTTTACTAGCAAAGTACCACTTTAAGTACCAGTTACCAGCAGACTCAAAGCCATTCTATTACATTCCTTGAATTTAAAATAAGGAGAACTAAAAAATCATGCTTTCATTTCAAAGAGCTAAATGCTGCTGAATATTGTAACTGTGCATTTTTTTTCCTGGGGTTATTTAAGAAAAGCTGGATTTATGTATACAAATTATTTATTTTCTGATTTTCATATATATTTTGCCCCAAGCAAAATCATGCCTAACTTCCCTTTCGAAATCCAACTCATTTGACTTTTCTGTTGGATAAATAACGCTTCTTTGTTTACAAGAAATTAAATATTTTTTCTAATAAATTTTAATAAAACCACATTTTGTAACTAATATATTTGGTCAACGGACAAAAAAATTTAGTTTTACCAATCAGTTCTTGCACAGACAAAGTTACAGGAAAATCTTTCGGCAAACATTGAGGTGTTACCTGAAAAACAAACAAAGGAAAAGACACAATCTCATATTCTGAATTTTTTGCATGTTAAAGGTAACATCAAAACCCTGCTTGTGACTCCGTCTCATCTCTCCTTGCTGTAGTAGGTCCTGTATATTTGTGGTCCTAAGGGGCTTAGCTAAGTTCAGGAAAAGTGGAAAATATCTAGTCTAAGACTTCAGTAAGAATTGTTAAGACTTACAAGTTTAAACTTGGAAAGCTATTTATAATTTTTTGCAACTTATATATTATGTATTCTATATTAACCCCTTTCCCAAATATGAAAATTCATACATGGATATATATATCTATATATATATATGTATATACACACACACCCCTGGATAATCTATACATCTATACATCTCTGGCAACTCCAGCAGAAAACAGAAGCTTTACCATGCAACATAACACTTCACCTCCAGTCCCCCTCACCCCCAAAACCCAAACAAAGCTAAAACTTTTTTTCACTACAAAGCTCAAATTTGGACTTTTCAAAAAACTTACCGATTGAAAAATTGACTTGCATATCAAGGTTAAAAGAACAAAGTATAAAAGCAAAAAAAATAAAAATAAATTTGTAAATTGTTTGTTCTGTTTCTTACAAATCATTACTGTCAGAAACCTGAGATATTACAATATTTACACAGATAGCAGGCAGGAGAGGAACGATGATGAAACTGTAGAGAAGTTCTGTTAGAATTCATTGTGCTACCCAGTTAGAGAGTTCTTATTTTATTCTAATTAGCTGATAACTTGTAGCAGAATAGGAGAAATATGTTACCTCAATCCATCTGGGAATTTTTCTAGCATCATCTTGTACAATCACATCCACTGGAACTTTGACTTTCTCTTGAATTCTTTTGTCGTCTACATTCGGAATCTTAGAGGAAAACAAAAAAAAATTAAACCACATAGAAATTAGAGGCATTGACAAACCCAAACGTATTACACAGATTTGTTGCAAACTGCTATTTATCTAATAACTGATGGATGCCTTTGAATTTTTAAGATTTATAGCTTTTTGTAGATTTTAACGTAGCTGAGTAATCTCCCACACTTCAGCATAATAGTTAACACTTCCCAAACCCTATTCCCCCATTTCACATAGAGTTTTCTAAATTCTTTAGGCTTGTTTAGGCTCCTTTCAAGGCAGGACTATAGTAAACATATTCTGTTTAAGAACATACACCCCCTAGGCCTGAACAACAAGAGACCATCACAGTCAAAGCCACCTCCAAGCCTGGAACCTTGGAGAAGCTCCAAAGACAGTACATGCCGTGAGGAAGAGGAAGATGAGGAAGAAAGGGGGTCTTAGGACCTCTGAATCCAAGAAATCCGGTATAGTAAACTGCCCAGAATCCTTTTTGATCTTTGAGCAGCAAAGGTATTTATTGACAGCGCTGGGAGCAAGCCAGCTATTGCTGGAAAAACTTTCTCAAAGGATTCACACAGAATCAGCAGTTTTTATACAATTTTCATATATGATTAAATGCATATTCAAGTGATTACAGCATCTATCTATACATATGAATAACAGGAGGAGTATAGGTGGAGCTCAGGCGGGGCTTGAGGCAGTGCTTCTCTTGGCCCTTAATTTTGGTGGGAGTTCTGTTCTTTCTCTCCGAGTCTGGGGGCTAGTTCTCATCTTCCTCAGCTTGACCTCTCTTCTTTTCCATTGTTCTCGACCCACTCACTGAAGCCTGGAAAAAGCCTTGGCTCATGGCCTGCTTCTTCTATTCAAATGTCTACCTTAGCCTACTGCATCTTAATTTATTACCTCTAGGACTATGACATGTTCTTTTACCATTCCCTTAAGTTTTGGTCCAGTAAGTAAACTCCATAAAAGAGTATGGCATAATAAACACTTGAAGAAAAGTACAAAGATCAGTGTTTACAAAGCCACAGTGTTGTCTACTCTCTTATATGGTTCCGAATCACGGGTCATCTACCGCCACCACCTGCGTCTCCTAGAACGCTTCCATCAACGCTGCCTCTGAACAATCCTAAACGTCCACTGGTCAGATTATGTGACCAATACATCTGTTCTAGAACAAGCAGCAGTCACAAGCATTGAGGCCATGTTGCTGAGAACACAGCTGCCCTGGGCAGGACACGTCTCCAGGATGAAGGACCACTGCCTCCCTAAGATCTTGCTCTATGGTGAACTTGCCACTGGTTGCCGCAAGAGAGGAGCCCCAAAGCGAAGATACAAGGACTCCCTGAAACATCGTCTCAGCCTTGGCCATATTGATCAATATAACTGGTCTACTCTGGCCTCAAATCGGGAGGCCCAAAGACACACCATCTATAACGCTGCTGCTTCCTTTGAGAACACACACAGGATCACTCTCAAGGAGAATAGACAATGCAGAAAGAATCGTGTCTTGCTGAATATGTCACCTGAGGAGTCTTTCTGCTGTGCCTTTTGCAATCGGACATGTCTATCTCGTATTGGCCTCATTAGCCACCAGTGTGCTTGTAACAAACGTGGATAGAGCCTTCCTAAATCATCAAGCCCAGCCATGATGGTCCAGTAAGTAGAACAGAACAAGCACAGATCGTTTTGGATGTTAGTAGCTTGTTAGCAGGCCCAAATTTCTTAGTTAACTCTTTTGGGCCTGGCCTCCTGTTTCTCCTCTGACTCAATTTCCAGGGAGGAGTGCCTGGGGGGGTATATCGGGGTAGGGGGGTGGTGGTGGGGTTGTGGTTCTTGGATCAGATCATTAATTGTGTAACCCCTGGACACGTGGGCTCGCTTTTTGTACTCCTTGTGTCAGAAGGCCTTCATTAAAGACCTGCTCTCTTATCTCTACTAAATTAGCCTAGTGAGTTTTTTTGCTCCCGATTTTAAGGCAACATAACTTAGAATAGGAGAAACATATTACCTCAATCCATCTGGGAATTTTTCTAGCATCATCTTGTACAATCACATCCACTGGAACTTTGACTTTCTCTTGAATTTTTCCATCATCTACATTCAGATTCTTAGAGGAAAATAAAAAAAAATAATTAAGACACATAGAAATTATAGGCACTGACAAACCCAGATATATTACACGGATTTGCTGCAAACTACTGTTATTCAGATGAGGATATCCAACAAGCATAAACATATTTTTAATGTATACCTTTAATGTAAAAAAAAAGAAAAATCCCAAGAAGCAAAAGCATGTACAGGCTCTGAAAAATCCACAGATAGAAACAGACAAACAAAACACCCATATAAAACAAAAAAAAGAAAAAAAAAACTTAGAAAGTATTGGTAATGACGGCTACAAGTCTTTACACCTATTTTTAAGATCCCATAAGAATTCATATGCAAATTAAGGGCTACTCTGTAACTCACCTCTGTGTAAAAACTAAGAGTATTTAATGAGAAACGGCAATTCGTTAATGAAACTCTTGCTTTCTGAAGCAGTGTATATTAGCTGTTGTCAGAGACATGACACTAGCACTATGCTAAACAAGTAAGGAAAATAAATTCCATTTTTAGTAATGGTATTTGAGCAAGCAGAACACAGGGTTAGAATGGTTGCACATGCAAAGCCTGTGTTACATTTTTCTTCATCAATATAAATATTGGGTAGTCTTGATACCCACAGTGTAGTTTGGGAAGCAACAGCAGAAGATTCCAGTCTGCTTTTGTTGTATCATCCATTATTTCAGATTTACTTTTTGTTTTAAATCATGTTACCTACTTTTTTAGACGCTCAGGTGAACGATCATATTTTTTATAAGTGTTTTCACTTTACACTTCATTCGATTACTCTTTTTCCTTACCTATAATAACCTTTCTCAGGGTTGTCTGTTACAATAAAACGTATAGTTCTCTCTAGCATACTAATATTACCAAGACAATAATATTACTTCATACTGGTCTTTATGACATTATTTATTGAAGCTCTCATTTGCTATACTTACTAAAAATGTGTATTAAGGTGCAGACTACATAGAGTCTTCTGCTGACTACATCAACTCATCAGGTACGTAGAAACTACTCAAATAATTAATAATTTCTATTGAACACAAAATTATTCCATTACATTAGACACCAAAAATTTTTACCTGGAGGTGAACGTCTTCAAATTTTCTTCTTACTGAAACCATTTCAACATCACTCGCTTCATCTACAGTTTGAAGATAAATATTAAATATAGTTGCACTCAAAACCAAAAGAGAAAGTTTTTAAACACATACAAGCTATTGACTACACTAGTTTCATTTTAGAAAATTATTTTCTACACTAAAGCTCTATTACATTTCCATTTCAAGTCCAACTGAAAAGCATGGTTTATGCGTTCATAAACGTCTTGAGGGGAACAAAGAAGAGTGAAGATAACTTGTTTCTTTCCAGTTCTTCAAGATTTATGTTAATTGTTTCAGAGAGTAAAACATTTTCAAAGGTCTTTATTTTCTTGGTCTTCAAGATTCACTATTCATTAATGCATAATTCCCACTCCATTTCTAAATATGCCAACAAAGATAGCAAGGACCTTCTACCACACTTCGTTTTATTAGTTTCTTTTTGTCGAGACCACCTTAGAACTGACAAAATGAGAAATAAGACAGACCTGAGAATATGAAAAAGCAAGTCACAATATTTAAACTCAATTTTTAGGTAGTCTATGGGTATTTTTGTGAATGAAATGCAACAAAACATTTTTTTGCTAGATATAGCCAGACCTTCCAATTCATCATTAGCTAAAGTCACTATCTTCCATGATCATAAAACACGTGACTGCATTGTAAGCCCTGATTTCTGAATCTCCCTGGGTTCATCACAGAGAGGGAAAAAGAAGAGGAGAATAACCCTGAAAAGGAAAAGAGTGAGTGAAAAAAATCTTGCTTATGATACCTACCACATCACTGCCTTGTCACACTATCCCGAAATTGCTAAAACTAGAATGAAAATCTTTTCCAGCTCATCCCACCTTTCCTTTCAGTTCCCTGTCAGTGTAATCATCACCTCTGTGCTATAGAGCTATGATAAAGATATGCACAAAAGAAATGCTGTCTTTGTGGGAGATAACACATCTTCTGGTGAAGTTGTTGAGCAACCAGAGGGTTGGTTTTAACAGGGTACCTGACCCTAGAAGAATTACTAGAACCGAAACCCATACCTGTCAGATTATCAGTTTCTTCCCACATGACCAATGGAAGACAAATTTGTGGTCATTTTATTCACAGGAAATCAGTTACTAAGCATCAGTAGTGGAGGAAGCAATAAGAATGTTAATGGTTTAATTGGGAGAAGTTTCAGTCTCCAGTTTCTGTTGTAACAGCTCTTACCCTTCCTGCCATTCAGTCTTCTTCCTCCAGTAGAATTGGGCACAAAACTGTCAGATTGCTTCCTAAATGTTCACCAAGACAACCAGACTAGACCACTACAAAAATGGGAGGTTCTTGAGATAAAGGGAACAGCTGCTGTGCCAATGGTCAACTCCATCACCAATGACAAATTATTAGAAAACAAGTTTGTATTAGGGTGAATTGATCAGTATGCAAGTTGAATATTCTTCTAAGTATGAATCCTCACAAAAGGGTAATTTTACTATGTCTTCAATGTGCTGTCAATCATACTTCAAATCACTGGAACATCATTTATTAGCAGAGGGCCATGGCACAGCCCAGAACAGAAAAAAACCCCAAAATATCTTCTCCAGGAAATCTGGAAGTGTTTTTAAAAGGTCAAAGGGGAAATATGGGAACACCTTTGCACCTCAAATGCAGAACAGAGAGGAAAAGTGAAAACTCCTACCCTTCTCTCTCGAAAATTTCGCCTATAACACAGAAAGCTGTTTCTCTAGAGATGCACTCGAACAATATCATTACCTAAAAGTTGTAACTTATTTACCCCTTTCTCCAAATAAATTCATTTTTCTGTGATAATATCCTAATAGATACAAGATATTGTTCAGAAATAGAAATCACTATATTCTGCTAGGCTACTGCCTGTGAGAGCAAAGAAGGTAGCCTTAATTTTCCCTGTTAAGGACAGAATAATATTTGCAGGTACATGTGAGAGTTATTTCACTATATTTTTACTTGTTGTTGATAGGCTTTGAATACTCTCAGAACAAAAATATTGGATAATACCCAGAAAAAAAGTCTGCCTTCACTGAGAAGTGTGAAGCATTCTGTATGAATACTAAAAATGGAAAAGAACCTGCCAAACCCTAAAATTTTAGCTAGAACAGCTAAAGATACGCTTTTTTCCTTAAGTTAACATGCCCTATTGCTAATCTTTTAGATATTAAAAAACCCACAACCACCAAAAAAACCACCAAAAATCAAAAAAAATGCCCAAACACCAGGGGGAATTCCATTTTTATGTGAGGAATTCAATCCTATATCTCTAGAGAATCTAATTTCTACATCTTACTGTGTTTGGAGATAGCTGGGACTCACCGAGGTTTCTAAAAATCCTTGCCAGTCTCTTCCTAGAACATTCACAAGAGAAGGAGGAGGAGTGGATAATAATATTATTGTACACTGCTATGAAGATACCAGAGTCTGAACCACATCACTCATTTATCCCATGAGTGCAAAATACAAAGTCCACTTAGAGAAGCTAAGCTACAGATTCCTCTGGAATTTCTTTCCTGAATTTCATGGAGCAGGTTGAGAAAACACAAAGTCATGTTCTCTAAATTTGCAGAAATTATTTTATCATTCAAATAGATATTTGAAATTATCCTCTCAAATGATAGAAGGAAACATTTCAGATTGCTATTTTCTATTTACCCTCAATATAGAAGTAATTGTCTGCCTTGGAGACAGCTATATATTTATATGAAGTACTTAATTGAATACCACAGTATTTAAACACCAGTAACTGCTCTTTCAGCCATTAACTGCTGGTTACCATCTGGCCATAGTTTAATTTATGAAAAATAGTAAGTTTTTATATGCACAAGAATCAAAAGATGTTGAGTAATACAAGTTTTAAATATTTAAAAAAGAGCCAAAGTCTGTTGCCCCTAGTTAATACAAACAATTATTTGGGAATACAAGGTCAAAACCTCCCAAAACTTTGCAGACAGGCCACAAGACTGATGTTGAAACCATAACAAACACTAATGAAGAATTTTTGCAACTGAATGCAAACTTGCGTTTATCCCATCACTACTATTTAATGTATAATTGCAATTATTAATAAAGTTTCTATTGCCACCTGTGTTGAGGTTCCTGTTTCACTGTTCCTTTATTAAGGAAAGGCAGTTGAACATATTCCACATTGCCTTTCCAGCATATCAGGGATTCAAAACTGAAATTTCAGAGGAATGTGTATATTGATTTCACAGTACTACCAGTACTTCAGGCTCTTGCTATTCCTATTCACTACTTGCTGAAAGGGTACAGAACATGTATTAAAATTATTTTCACTATATTAGAAAATGATGAAAAAGTTATTTGCAATATTCTTCAAAAAGTTAAGAAAAAGATAGCTAAATAGTAAATTAAAAAACCCACCTATATCAGATGTATCCATTTGAGTGTTCTCAGGAGATTCCTTAAAAGCACAATGAAAGGAATTTTAATACGTGGTAGTGTAAGTTGTATTAACTAACCTCTAGAATTTTCTGCTTTCACTGCTTGCTCAATTGTTTTTTGGGGGTGGTGGTGGTGGTGAAACAAATGGAGTCATATTCCACAAACTTCGTCCAAATGACACCATCTTTATCCACAAATCTGCACACAAATTCACCTTGACTCCTATCTCAGTAGTCAGTGGGGAAAACTGTTTTCTTCTCAGCTTTTCTTTATTAAGACAAACAGTGCCAGAAGTAGCTATTATCCAACAAGCACAAAAAACAGTTGAGAGATGAATTCTAATCACCAAATTAGCATGTACTGGGGATTTCCTCTGTGCTCCAATGGATAAGGAAAGTTTCTTAACTGCTTACTTTGAACAATGCTTAATTGTTTACTTCAAACAATCTATACATAATATTTCAAATAGTTTTCTTGCTCTATTTTTTAGAAGTCTTGATAGAGGCATAAAAAAAAATGCATAAATACTTACCATCTACATCTGACATCGTGTTCCTCAGAATTTCTTTTTAAAAAAGTCTAAATCTATTCTGTCCAGTGCAATCATAAAATTAATTTATAGTGGGTTGAAATGGCATCAATAAAATGAGACAATTTTAACTACTATCTATAGAGAACAAGTAATTACGAGTGCCCAGTGAGATGGCCCATATCACTCTTCAAATGCTGAATATTTTCTCCTTAAAAAATAAGGAGTCAAAAGAAGCTATTCTAGACGGCACAGATTTTACAAATAATAATTAAAAAAGGTTGACCCACATAATGCATAACTAAAAAGACACTTGATGGTTAAAAGCCTATATCCAACTGCTCTCTCCCTCTTTAAATAAATGGAAGAGTAGAATTCAGCCAAAATCCATGGCTGGTATCATTGTACAGGACCACCTGCTCATGATTCATTTCTTAGTTTTTGACTACATAAATACGTTTTCCCAAAGAGGCTGTCATGGAATCACAGAATGGTTTGGGTGGGAAGGGACCTTAAAGATGATCTAGTTCCAACCCCTCTGAGATGGTCAGAGAAACCTTCCAACAGAACAGGTTGCTCAAAGCCTCATCCAACCTGGCCTGAGAGCACTCCCTAAAAGCAGATGTAACGTGGTGCCCATACCTGATGCACCGATGAATGTCCACCTTCAAAATCACTGATCCGTTGCTTGGATTTTTCTTAGCATGAACGTGAGGAAAAAAAATAATTCTATTACAATTCGATAGGTATTCAATGTGGTACCTGAACTCATTAATTCTTCAGTTGTATATACTCTATTTTTAAAAATATTTAACACAAATATTCAACAGAGAACACGCATAGGGCTCAAACAAAGAATAGGCAAGTGCCAGAACATGTTTTTGGCCAAATACGGGAGACTAATTCTGATCAGATGTACATATACCGTACTGCTTTCTTCTCAAACTCTGAAGCACCACAGAAAATAAAATTTACCCCTTTATCAGGTGGTATCACTTGAACAAAAGGAAGACAACTGCAAACTTTTTGTGCATTTTCCTTGGCATATGTTGAAAAGGAAAAGACTACTCCTGAAGCCTGAGGATAGAGCGCCAAACCTTTATTGCACCTTTTAGTTTTCGGTAACAGGGCCTTCTAAAACTGCTGTGTCTGTCTTCCTGCACAGATAGACCCATTCACAATCTTTGTGGGTTGTTTCCCCCTACCCCCCTATTTATTTCATAAGTAGGAAAAATAAGAACTGTAAGATCTGTCTAATTTGGTCAAGATCTCCCCTTTTTACATTTAAATCTATATTTTGTTCTTCTTTAGTTATCAAAAGTCAACCACATATAAATAAAACTCAAAGCATTAGACCCACAGAGAAGATGATATCTTCAAATAAATGTGATATCCACATAAGGTTATTTCACAATTAGCTGCTGAGCTAGATATTGATGCCACTAAAATTACTCAGACTGAAAACTGGTTTGGTATTGCCAAAACAAGGTTTATTTGTAACCACTGCTTTGATGGTTAAAAAAACTTATCTATAACAAGCTAGAACTTCTCAAGTTTGTATACAGAAATTTAACCTTTATCCAAAAAGAAGATCTGTATGTCCAAACACAGGACTCTGAAGGTACTGAAGCAGTAGTGAGACTTCTCATGATTGGATGCATGTGGTAAACTTGGATTTAAATAACAGAAATAATACACCTGCTTTAGCAGGTACGTTTATCCTACTCAAGACTGTCATTAAATAAGTTTCAGCTTCATGCAGACTTTGTTATCTTTGTTTTTTTTCTGCATTTCTGCTTCCAGATATAGATGTCAAATATCACAAGCCATTTACTTTTTCAGTCACATGGTGAGAAAACTTATGCCTAACTCAGACACAGAAGTATTATTTAGTCCTACAAACACTTTGTGTTATTTAATAGGTGCCAAGAAAACATGTAAAGATTTCCCGTTTTCTAAAGGCTTAAAGCATATGGAAAAGAATCTAAAGATGTTATCCATTGCTTCTGGCATTTTAAAGCAGGAACAACTACAACTAATGTATCTCTAGAAGTCCAATCCATTCTTAAGAGCAACTCCATCTTCAAGAAATGGATTTTGGGACTTCCTTATGTTTAAATTTGAAAAGCTTTTATAATATTTAACTTCTCTTTTTTTTTTTTTTTAATTCTTCTATTTTTTGCTCCAGTTATGTTCTATCAACAGTGGTTCTAGCAATTTGTTTCTTTTTCTGACCCACTCCAGACGGACAGGCTACTATGAAACACAAACCAAAGCACTCCACCACATGCTTTATTGCTGTTGAACAAGGCAGAAAACCTGTTTTTTCTGTTTTACATGTTAGGCACCTGTGCACATCTTCTAGCACAGAGTATGCTATTTTTACAACAGAGTGATATTCTCAGTTGGTACAACCAGTTTTCAAAATTGTCTCTTCCTGTACTTGATTATTCACTAATACGTCCAGTACTTGAACTCCTTTGCATGAAATTACACAAAGTTTACTTTAAGTTTTAGCCCAAAGTTTTCAGACCATCTTTCCCAGGGGTCAACCGTACTCTGTATCATCTGAGACTTAAATTAAAGGTATCCTCTCTTCTACTATTTACTTAAAGAAAGGTAAACTAATAACTTGCACAGGACGAATCCTGGAAAAAAATTCCTAACGTTTCCCTTCAGTTTGGACACAGACCACTGATAACTATTCTAAGTACAGGTTTCCAACCAGTAGGAAACTGGGCTATAAAACTACTCTCTCATATAAAATTCATGAAGCATGTTATATAACTAGAAAGCTCTGGCTTCAGGTTGTAACATTCTCTGGAAACGTCTGTTCACTATTTTGCAGAAAACTACAGTAATGCTTCCTTTAGAATATATTAGCAATGCATTATTTTAGAAGCTGAATAGTGCATTTTCCAAACATATCTGGATCGGGAACACAGGAAATTAGAAGAACACAGTATTGTCCAAGTGAAATCATTTACTGAGTAAGATGTTTGAAACACCACAGAGGGTGTTGTGTTTCAAAAAAATTTTTCAAGGAAAGAAAGCCTTTGAAGTAGCTAATATATGACAAATATTGCTGCTCTTGGAGGTTGAAATTTAACATACCTGGTCCTCCCTTCTTGAGAACTGCCATATAAAAAAACCCCCAAAAACCAACCACCACTCAAAGGATTGTCATCTCAATCAGTGAAACTTTGTGGGGGTACTGGACATTCGATCCAAATAGTAAAACTTGATTCCAGCAAAACTCAGAATTGTGAGTTGGAAAAAATAGCACAAGTTGTATTCCAAGGGGAGGGGTTCATTGATAAGTATTTGGGTCTTAAAAAGATGGCTTAATAGCACAGAACTTTATGTATCTTAATTGAAAGCACTTATCAGGTCCACCTAAGAGTATAAAACATGAAGAGGTAAAATTCATACATTAGCTTTAATAATCCATAGAAGTATGGGAGTTTTTTTCTTGGTTTTTGGTTGGGGGTTGTTGGCACATGAGTTTTTTGGGGTTTTTAAGGCTAGTAGCAACCACAATCAGCCAGTTCAAGTATTTACTCATGTACTTTCGTGTTTCAAATTAAAAATGTCATTGCAAGATATAGTTTTCTTAAGCTGAACAAAATCTGTGAAGTTCTATCTTTTATGGCATATGTAAATATAAATGTATCAATACAAATCAGTGCAAGGTTTTTTTCTTAAAAGCTGTTAACAGTATAGCTATTCACCCAACTGCAATATTTAGATATTTCATCCCTTAGATAACTTAAATACAATATTAAAGACATTGCTCATATTATATAAAAAATTGGAAATATATATATATTATCAATTTTTCTGCTTCTCTACCTCATCTGTAATGCAACAAAATAAATTTGAAATTAATTAGATCAAGCCTTCAAAGCATTAAAGAACTCCAAGTAAATTCCTCATTTAAGAACTTCTAAGGCATTCATTCTGTCAAAACAAAAAGATTAGCGAAATATTTCCTGTAAAAGGCTTTAAATATCATATCTTTGAAAAACCTAACTTTCTTTTTGAGCTTTACTGCAGATTATAGACTTTTTTTTTTTTGTAGTATTCAGCCCCATCAGCCAAATGGGGCGATTAGAGGCAAAAGTCTGGATCATCTGAATCTTTTTGTACCAGACCCTTATTTCCCAGCTCTACATTTAAATTTCTTAGGTTGATTCAAAGGCTATACCTGAACACTGTAGAGAAAGAGTAGCTAGGTTGCGTTTTGTCCTCAGGTGTTCAGTATAAAAGTTTCTCAGAGGAATGTCATAAAATAAGCAACACTGAAAAAAACCATGTCAAAACCTTAAGAAAATAAAGCCCAACATACCTTCACTGTATTACACATGAAAATTTCCCCCCATCACTTATCCCAGGGATACATATATTTTATTGGAATATACATCTCCTTTTCAGAACAGAGAAAACGTTCACATGTCACAGCACCCCCCCCCCCAAGAGTATCATAATTACACTTTGTTGTGCAGTTTGTCTTCCATCATGATACTCTATCTCTAGTAAAGTAACTATACTCTGCCTTTTCCTGCAGGTAGCCTGATTCATTCAGTATACAGAATAATCTGCTATATTTTTGACAGCTCATCATGCAAATTCACGAGATTCTTTTGATACACATTTTTTGGTATGCCTATTTATTTAGTTATTTTCAAAAAGCTAGCAACATTCAAATTTATCCACTTGTACAAAAGTCAGGGCTGGAGTTTTTAGATTCGATGAACATCTGACAAAACTGACAAGCACAACAAAAAGTTCTTTGATTAATTGATAATCAACTTTGATTAACTATCATATCAAATTGATATTTTAATCAACTTGTTATGATAGCAACATCAATTATAATGCGTTTACTCCTCTTGAACATTTTAAATTACATTTCTGAACTCTTACAAACATAAGTATTGTTGATTTATTGGGTGGTTTCACCCCACAAAAAACAGCGAGTATCCTGAAGAGTTTAGCATAAACCCAGAATGTCTTCTATCAAGTCAAGATTCTTTGGATAAGATGATTTATAGCACCTTTTCTTTAACCCTTACCTGCTTTCCTTCGACTTCTTCTATTATGCTGCAATTAGAAACAGGAAAAAAAGTCAGAATAATCTTAGAATAGCAGAATTAGTTTAATCACTGCCTTTATTTACTTTGGTATATTCCACAACTAGACACTTCTTAAATTAACCATTAAATTTCCCTCAGATTTCCCATGGCCTTGCCAGAAAAGCCGCAAGTACAGAGTAAAAGTTGCCTGATCATTCACTTTTTTCCACACTGTTGCTGTTAAAATCAATACAAGAACATAACACTGGCCCACATAAGAGGATAAGACAGAGAATTTCTCTTGCAGTCCTTAATGGATTTAGACAGTACAGCAATGCTTTGCAGTTTATGCACAAGGTATTGCCAGGGGTGGAAAGGAGGGGGAATCATAAATACAGCCCCTTTTTTGTCTCCATTAAATCCACTCTTTTTCCCTAAGGCTGAATTTCATTCCTCATCCCCTCACCCTGTGGGGTTCAGAACAGCTCCTGTGTAAACTACCGAGGCACACTACAGAGGTAGTGACTTTAGCCTGACACAGCAAGTGGTGAGACTGCAAAGATACTTCAATTACTTCAGCACATTATTTTACAGGGAAAAAAACAAAAAAGAAAACGTAAAGTTGAAACCAGGAAGCCCCGAAGAATTGAAGAGCTGATTACCTGAACCGAGATAAATTGAATCAATGTATTACCTTCAATGACAACCTTCGATGAGATCCAAATGTACGTGTTCCCAACAGATAGCAATTTAAAAAAAAGAAATTTTCCTGGTTTACTAGTTGTGCTAACCACCAATAAATGGTCATCTGTTTTAGTCTATATCATCTGAAAATCTTAACCAAACTATCCTAAATCCCTGTTATAAAGCAGATGTTGACGTCATTAATTAATACCTCTTAAAAATATTATATGGCACAGCAAGATTAGAATGTAATACTAAATATATATATATAAAAATATATATCTTTATATATAAAGAAATATTGCTGCATTTTGACTGCATAGTAGGTCTATATTATTAGATACCTTAAGTATTTCCTTTCTCCATTTTTTAATGTTCTTGGATGACACATTTCCCCATTTTTTTGGTCCTAGAAATAGCAAGAAATATCAATATTAACACCATCCATACCAAACATCACTTTAATAGACATAAATATTTAAGAAGAACATATGACAGAGTAACAAAACATTATCAAATCTGTATAGCCTCCAACACAACTGCAGAAATAAAAACTTAAGAGGAAAACAAACCAAGAGAATATGGTAATTTCAAGTTAATTGTGAGGTCAGGCAAGGAAAAAAAATAATCAAACGCACTGAGTCTGAAAACCCTGAGCTAAAATTCAAAAAGCATTACAGACAAATTCTTTTGCTTTTTAGATTTCATTTAATGAATGCAGACTACATGGTATGTGAGGTTACTTAAAGCCATAATGAAGGCTTTACAAGACTGAGGTTCATATTAATTCCATATTGAATAGAGGTTACTAAACCAAAAGCATAACCAAGCTTTTACCAATCCAAAACTGTTTATTACAGTACTGTATGAATGTTTTCTCCCTCTCCCAGTGCAAGCTTCCCAGTCTGTAAAAGCCCTTGGTGTACTGTTAGTGCTTCCTGTGCATGTCCAGTAAGTCCTACTCTACAAGAATTAATAAGGCAATTTACATATCACAACCCTCATGTCAGTGATAATAAAAACTGGCAGAACATTTCATTTCCCAGTAAAGCCACCAAGATCTTAAGTCACAAGTCCCACTAAAACCTTGAGCAATATATTTTTGAACAACAGCTTTTTTCACAATAAGCTTTCCATAAGCATTATCTCTCTGTAATGGATCAACCATTACAATGAGATGGCCCAACATGGTATAGATTTATGCTGGTCACATGGGAGCACTCAATGAAAAGTTAAAGATACTAACTTCCTAGTCCACCCTGACGTTTGGCATAACAGAAATTTGTCAGAGTGGTATTCAGAATACTAAGTGGAGATAAAACTACAGAATCCATTCATGCATATCAACTCCCGCTAATATTTCCATTCCTTCCGTTGTCTTCTCCATTTTGATTATTCTTCTTACAAGCCATCCAAACATAAACCATTTTTATCCTGAACTTTCCTAATAACTCTCTTCTTTTCTAAAATGGAGCAAGCAATGGACTAAAATGGCACACAAAAGTAAACTCTTTACAGGTGTACCAAAATTTACATATGAAATGTCTTACCTAAGTGAACAAAACTGAATATCTGTTGCACTTAAAGGTTCTATAGCTGCCAACAGTTGCATTCTTTAGCAAGTCTAAATACACAGCTTATAAATATTGAAGCTTTTAGAAGTTCTTACCATCAGGTGTATCATAAGTGAGAGTTTCCATGGAAACAAGGTAATCATCTTCAAAAGGATGATTATACTAAATAAAAAGGAACATTAAAACCGTCGCTTTAATAATTTATTCTATTATTTAACACGCATTATAACAATTGCTTTTAGGACAATTTTGTTTTATCCAAAACAAGAAATTATCAGTGCGCTGGTTTATTGGCCAAAGTCAGAAGCTGGCAATTTGGAAATATATAATTCCTAGGGGAAACAGGTATGCAGGCCATTCAATTCCAAGGCATAGCCAGGAATGACAAAAAAGGGCACCAGAGATTTCTCAAAAGTGGTTAAGTTCCTCTCTTACAGTTTCCTCCAAACTTGGTCTGTAGTAGCTGAAAGCAGCCCCATAGAGCTGCAGCTCACGCCATGTAAAAATATCCAATCTGACACGAGACGAGGAAAACGCCCTAGAGCCAGACCTGGCCACGTGCCAGCACAGGACGTTTCCCTGCACAGGGAAGCTTACACCCCTGGAAAAACACACGCATCTCTGGGTGGAGGCGCGCCATTCCCACACCTTTAACACAAAATAGCTCTGAAGTGAGGAGGATCCCTGGAGGGAGTCTCCCACTTCCCGCAGCTTCACTAAAAACACCTCATCTCGCGCCAGCGCTTTGGGGCGAAGGGCACTGTCAAGTCAGGTCGCACTTATGATTTAAGTCGCTCATCCAAGCCTGGCAGTCCCAGGTTTGACTTTTACGGATGCATTGCGGGAGCGGACCCTTGGCCAGCCCCCTCCTGCCAAGGCACAGCGCAGATTTGACAGCTGCTTTTGGCCCCCGCCAAGGCACCAGGGCCGCCCCCGCCTCCCCGCCCGCCTCGGCACGGCGCCCGGAGCCCGCGGCCTCCCGGGCCCAACGGCTCACCCGTTCCAGGATGCGATTCATGGAGGCCATGAAGCGGGCGCTGCTCTGCCGCAGCTGCTCCTGCAGCTTCGCATCCACATGAAAATCCATGGCGGGGCCGCTCCCCTCGCGAGCAGAACGAGAACCGACCCCAGTCCCGCCGCCACCTCGGGACCCCCGCGCCGCGTCAATTCAAACCGCGCGCCGCCCCCCCGCTCGCCGCCTCTCATTGGCTCCCGCTCGCACGGGTGGGCGGCCTTCCTCACTCTGATTGGCTACCAGAGCTGCCGAGTGCCCGCCCGCTGCCCCCCCTCCTCCCGGCGGTGGGCGCAAGACTCGCCTCGGGTTGGGCGCCGAGGTGCTGTTCTACCTGGCAACGGCGGCTGGCACGAGTTCCCATTGGCTGCGGGGCAGCGACGGCCGGAGCCGGGAGCGGGAAGCTTTCCCTGCCCCGCGGCGCTGCCCCGGCGTGGCGCAACGCCATCGTGGCTGGGCCTCGCGAACGGAGGTTTGGGAAGGGCTCTACCCACGTTTGTTGCAAGCGCGTTGGTGGCTAAAAAGGCCAATACGAGATAGACACGTCCGGTTGCAAAAGGCACAGTAGAAAGACTCCTTGGATGGTGTATTTTGCAAGGCACGATTCTTTCTGCGTTGTCTTTTCTCCTCAAGGGTGATCCTGCGTGCTTTCAAGCATCTGCAGCGTTATAGATGGTGTGTCTCCAGGCCTCCCGACTGGAGGCCAGAGTAGACCAGTTATGATGATCAGTATGGCAGATACTTCTATTATTTCTAGTATAAAAGTACATATTAAAGAATTCAAAGACATTAAGGTTGTAAAATGAGTGAGTCCTAAGCCAGGAAGTGTCAGAGAAAAGTAATTCGTCACATCCTATGTGTGCATTGTATTTCAATCTTTAGTTATCAAAGCACTGCAAGGGGATGGTAAAACACCACAATGAAGTGTGTGCCATTGTTTACTCTGTGGTTTATTGCCATATGTAATTGTTTTATTCATACTGTTTATTCATATTTGGAGAGGGCTGTGTCCTCTCCAGCTCATTACTTAGTCCAGCCTCAAGCTGTATTTTATCCTTTTAATCTTTTTATCGCTTTTTTTATAGGTCAGAACATCTGCACTAAGTGATCATTTTTAGTATTCTGCTCTGAACTCTTTCCAGTCAGTCAATATCTATGACTATGGCATCTGGAATAATAAATAATTTTCTGAAAGCAACCTCTGAAGAACCATGTAAAAAGCAATTTACACATCTATTCTCTGTAAATGTTGATCTTCAGATACAGCCAAAACATCACATTGACTATTGAAATGACAAACTCATCTTTCTTCAGTATATTTCTTCCGGATTGCATGCTGCTCTGACCCTTCGTACAACAGAGTATGAAAGCATAAAATAACTGCTGTTTTCCAGAAACTCCGCTTGTGTCAAGTCAGTGAATACAATTAGGGATTCAGAGACTGTACAAAAACACTGAGAAGTGTGGAGAGGGTAGTAGCTGTAGGCATACAGAAGAGCTGGCTGCCTGTGTAAAAGGGAAGCGTGAGCATCTCAGGAAAACACCACAGTAAACGAGTCAACACAGGCCAGGTGCTGCAGCAGTCGCTGTGTACCATCACCTCTGCAAGGAACCTTGCCTTCCCTGCTCTCCAAGAGGTAGGAGAGAAAGCAGTATTTTACTCCTCCTTGCTCACAACCCCATCCAAAGTCATAAATTAGTTTCCTCACATAAGGCAGTCCCTGCATGAGTGTCTGTTAAACAGACAAATGTTTCCAAACCTTATCATAATTAAACACACCCAACCACTCCATAACTCTGCTTATATAAAGCATAGAAGAAAACAAAACAAAAAACCAGGCACAGTTGGCCATCAGGAAGGCATCAAAAATCTTGCCTGTCAAGCCAAATACTTTGCTGAGTTCCCAAACACATTACTAGGTTGAGTAACATTATTTAGCTCCCTCTTTCTGAAAATAGTGTGCAGGCCTGCTGGAAGCACATTTGAGCAGGCTCTAAGGCTGTGCTAGCTGGATTGCTTGTTTTCTGAAGACTGTGTACTGCCCTCAGTTGTCAAGAGCATATGTAATTTTGTTTCTGAGTAATTTTATTAGTTCCAGTCTAATCAGTTCTCTGCCAGAATGAGACTTTGGTATTTTAATTTTTTTTCCTAGTGTACTGGGTTTGATTGGGATGAATCTAACTCTTCACAGCAGCCCTGTGGTGCTGTTTTTTGCATTTGTGGCTGAAATGGTGTTGGTAGGACTTTTATTATGTGGCTGTTGCTGAACAGTTCTTGCAAACACAAGGCTTTCTCTTTTTTTCCCCACTGTCCTGCTCCTCCTCCACTCCAGTGAGTATGACTAGGCTGGATCTATGCAAGAAGTTGGGAGGGGACCCAGAAGGACAGCTGACCTGAATTGACCAAAGGGATATTCCATGCCATAAAGCATTACACTCAACAATAAAAACTACAGTAGAGGAAGAAGAAAATGAGGGATTTTTACTTCCATGTTGGCCATTGCTTGGAGACCTCTCTTGTGGGAAGTAGCGAATCATTGCCTTTGCATCACTTAATTTTCATGGGGCTGTTTTCCCTTTTTCCTTCACCTTTCTTTATCTTGACTCTTGAGTTTTCTTACATTTCCTCCTCCTGTTCTCTCCCCTGCCCCACTGGGGTGCATGTGGGTGCTTGACTGTTGGTGGGACTCAACCTACAGAAGCTGGTTATTTCTGAAGCCTTCTGGTCACTGAAATATGTCTGACTGTGAGCTCATTTATAAAGGCAGGTCCCACATTCAACCACCATGTCTGTGAATTGAGGAACAAGCAATTACTAGGACAGCAATTACCTTGAAATGGTCAATGCTCTTTTCCATCACGTGTGGGAATGGAAAAGTGAGAACAAATATAATTTTTAATCATTGAGGGCTCAGGGCACAAACCTCAGGAATCTGACCTAATAGCATTGTACTATCATTGAAGCAAAGGATGAGAATTTCCTTGAAAAGGAATGAGTGATTCTTTTCCCTTTCACTACTCACCACTTTCCTCAGTTCTCAGCCTCTGCTGAAACTGTCTGGATTAAATTTTCTCCAAACCCCTCACTCTCTCTAGCATTTTGTGGAAGTAGCTCCTGCTTGGATTGGCAAAGAACTGAGTGTCACCAATGTGCTCAACAAATGCCACAACTCAGCAGTCACATCATGCCTCTTGCACAGATGTCAAACTGTTTCACAAAACATGGCAAGAATTATTAGCCTTGCTTGAGAGATAGAAAGCCCAAGGCACAGAGCTAAGTGAATTGCCCACAGTTTTGTGCATGCTGGTGGCACACTGGTGAATAGGCTGTAAGCACATACACAATTCTAGTCTAGCATCCCCCTGCTTGACAGTATTAACACCTAAATATTCATAGCCAGTTCCCCTGGGTGCTTTCACACACACTAGTGTGGAAGGCTCAGGATTTATCCCCAGGATCCTGGTCCTCCTGAGGCACGCACGACTGCCTGTCATGTCCCATCTGATCTCCCTTTGAAGGAAGGGAACCAACCATTCCGTGTGACCTCATCCGTTCCTGCCAGCTTGCACAAATGAATGATCGCAGTCGGATACATTGGAGGTGGTATCAAAGCATGTCCATCTGTAACAGAAGCCACTAAAAGATGTGCTGTAATCAGCACTGCTACCTAACCTGTGTCCTGCATGAGCAGATTAAATTGTTTTAAAATGTTTGAACACAGCGCTCATTGTGATCAATGTCATTCTGTTGATCAGATCAGTGGGAGTGAAGAATAAAACCACATTTACTCAACAACAAATATTGGCAGTGCTTCCGAAACAGGCCAAGGGCTTATTGAAAAGAATATTGATTGAGCCAAGAAAACATCAAGCAGTTATAAAAGTTTAATCATATTCTCATTCAAGCCTGCCTTCAGTGCCAGGAATTAAAATTCCCCCGTCTCCTGAGGACGGAAGATACATTTCCATAATGTTCTGTAAACTTCCAATGCTTTGCATCTGTACCAAATGGTGGAATTATTCATTGCAAATGATTTAGCTGAGATACATGGCGCTTTCTGCACTGAGTGTACAAATTATGCACAAACAGGCTGTGATTTTTTGAATGTTTCTCATTTGCAATTGTTTAACAAAGAGCTGGGCAAACAAGAGTTAGCCTCAAAGGTATTTTTGAAGTGGTCAAAACAAATATTTGGTCTTCATGATTCAACAACATATGCCTGGTCTCTCAAATCAGATGAAATTAGAACGATTCCTCAGCTAGAAAAGATTAGTTTCATTAAAAGAATGTGTCTATGTCTTTATTAGAAAACTGCTGATAAACGTTTGCAGTTGCCTGAGAGAGCTACTGTGTGCAGAGAGTGAAAGGCCACATTCAGAATGGCATATTTTGGCACAAGTGCTGCGGCAGTGTCTGGTTATAAAAGTTGTATGGGGTCTAAGATCACAGAAGAAGTTAATATTTGCCAGGAGCAAACAAGAAATAGTTTTTCTGGGCTGCAGTTTTGCAGACTCACACCTGTCTAAGCTAAGCTCACTGCTGTGGAGAACAAAAAGAAAACAGAGCTATGTCTGAGCTAGTGTTTCGCTTACTCTTTCAGTCCTCTGCCTCTCTTAGCTCTGTGCTAATCTTTATGGACGTCAAGTGTTGCTGGGTCTGTCCTGCAAAGGAACATGTGAACATTGCTGGGGTAGCAGCATCTCAGTTGGCTTTGGCTTCCAAATAACTGGGACTGCAGCACTAGCAAGGGTAGTAGGGTTCCACGAGGCATGGAGGCTCCCTCTACACACGCGGGAGTCCTCAAACATGCTGGTGTATTCTCAAGGATTTTAGTATCCTTCTCCAAGGATTTTTGTCTCAATTAGAGTTATGTGGCATGTACACTCATGTGTTGTAAAATTGACTTATGTCCTACCCAGAATAAGGTGTGCTGGGCATCCTTCCCCCATTGCAAAGCTTATAAGAATTCATGGCTAAAAGATCACTGGGCGACACAGATATGTCTTGATTGTCTCAGACTCTGACTCCTGATGACTGAATTGCAAAATGAGGTGTTAAACCTATCTGGACTCGTAGGCTTCAATTTTCTGTGGCTGGCCTGTCACTTCTGAGGTGCAAAAGACAGTTGCATTGCTGCATGGAGTTCTG